ACCTATCCTTCTCAAACTCTTCCAAAAAATTGAAGAGGAGGGGAAGCTTCCTAACTCATTCTATGAAGGAACATTACCCTGATACAAAAACCAGACTAGGACAACACAAAAAAAGAAACTTACAGGATTATGATGAACATTGATGCAAAAATCCTCAACAAAATATTAGTAAATCAAATACAATAATACATTAAAAAGATCATACACCATGATCAAGTGGGATTTAGTCCAGGGATGCAGGGATGGTTCCACATCTGCAAATCAATGTGATACACCACTTTAACAAAATGAAGAATAATGATCATCTCAATAGATGCAGAGAAAGCATTTGACACAATACAGCATCAATTTATGATAAACTCTGAATAAAATGGGTATAGAAGGAATGTACCTCAACATAATAAAGGCCATATATGACAAACCTACAGCTAATATCATCCTCAATGGTGAAAAACTGAATGCTATCCCTCTAAGAACAGGAACCAGACAAGGATACCCACTTTCACCACTCCTATTTAACATAGTAGTAGAAGTCCTAGCCAGAGCAATCAGGCAAAAAAAATAAATAAAAGGGATCCAAATTGGAAAGGAAGAAGTAAAACTGTCACTATTTGCAGATGACACGATTTTATATATAGAAAACCCTAAAGAATCCACCAAAAAACGTGTAGAAATAATAAATGACTATGGTAAAGTTGCAGGATACAAAATCAACACACAAAAATCTGTTGTGTTTCTAGACACTAACAACGAAGTAGCAGAAAGAGAAATTAAGAATACAATCCCATTTACAATTGCAACAAAAATAATAAAATACCTAGGAATAAATTTAACCAAAGAGGTGAAAGATCTGTACACTGAAAACTATAAAACACTGTTGAAAGAAACTGAAGAAGACACAGAGATGGAAAGATATTCCGTGCTCTTGGATTGGAAGAATTAACACAGTTAAAATGTCCATACTTCCTGAAGCAATCTGTAGATTCAATGCAATCCCTATGAAAATTCCAACAACATTTTTCACAGAAATAGAACAAAGAATCCTAAACTTATATGGAACAACAAAAGACCCCAAATAGCTAAAGGAATCCTGAGAAAAAAGAACAAAGCTGGAAGTATCACACTACCTGATTTCAAAATATACTACAAAGCTATAGTAACCAAAACAGCATGGTACTGGTACAAAAACAGACACACAGATCAATGGAACAGAATCGAGAGCCCAGAAATAAACTCACACATCTATGGACAGCTAATTTTCAACAAGGGAGCCAAGAACATACAATGGGGAAAAGAAAGTCTCTTTAATAAATGTTGCTGGAAAAACTGGACAGCCACATGCAAAAAAATGAAAGTAGACCATTATTTTACACCATACACAAAAATTAACTCAAAGTGAATTAAAGACTTGAATGTGAGACCTGAAACCATGAAAATTCTAGAAGAAAAGATAGGCAGTACACTCTTCAACATTGGTTTTAGCAACATATTTTCAAGTATCATGTCTGACTGGGCAAGGGAAACAATAGAAAAAATATACAAATGGGACTACATCAAACTAAAAAGCTTCTGCACAGCAAAGGAAACCATCAACAAAATGAAAAGACAACCTAACAATTGGGAGAAGATATTTGCAAACCGTATATCTGATAAGGTGTTAATCTCCAAAATATATAAAGGACTCATACCTCTCAATAACAAAAACCAAACAACTCAATTAAAAAATGGGAAAAAGATGTGAACAGACATTTCTCCAAAGAAGATATACAGATGGCCAACAGGCACATGAAAAGATGTTCAACATCATTAACTATCAGGGAAATGCAAATCAAAACTACAGTGAGATACTACCTCACTCCTGTCATAATGGCTATAATTAACAAGACAGGAAACAACAAGTGTTGGAGAGGATGTGGAGAGCAGGGAACTCTCATACACTGCTAGTGGGAGTGCAAAGTGGTGCAGCCACTATGGAAAACAGCATGGAGATTCCTCAAAAAATTAAGAATAAAACTACCATATGATTCCCCTATTCCACTATTGGGTATTTACCCAAAGCACATGAAAACATGAATGCGTAAAGATACATGCACCCCTATGTTCAGTGCATCATTAGTCATAATAGCCCAGACTTGGAAGCAACCTAGATGCCCATCAAGGGACGAATGGATAAAAAAGATGTGGTATATACATACACAATGGAATACTACTTTCAGCTATAAGAAACAATGAAATCCAGCAATTTGTGACAACATGGATGGACCTTGAGGGTATTATACTAACCAAAATAAGTCAGACGGAGAAAGTCAAATATTGTATGATCTCACTCATATGTAGAAGATAAAAACAACAACAATTATATAGAGACAGAGATTGGATTAGTGGTTACCAGAGGGGAAGAGGGAGGAGGGAGAAAGGGATGATTAGGCACATGTGTGTGGTGATGGATTATTGTTAGGCTTTGGGTGGTGAACATAATGTAATTTACACAGAAATTGAAATATAATGATGTACACTTGAAATTCATTATAAACCAATGTTACTGCACTAAAAAAAGAGGAGGATTGGCACAGATGTTAGCTCAGGGCAAATCTTCCTCAGCAAAAAATAAATAAATAAATAAAATAATAACCTGTAACCTAGATCCTTTGCTAAAGTAGTGATAGAATTATCAACTGAATATAATTGATGATTACTGAGACTATTCAAAGTTCCTTGTTCAACTCAACAAGTCCTGGTAAAGCATCAAGCCTAGGGCAACACTTGAACTCTGACAGGAACCATTTACACACAATCCTAAGACCCATCATTTTTTCCATTTTCACATCTCTGTAATTGGTGTGTGTCTTAAAAATTAATGAAGTGTTTTCCTTTTACAGTCCATGGCATCTTAGGATCTGATGAAATGTGACATATCCCCTCTTGTTCTTCCTGCATTTTCATGCACAAGTTTTCTAATTTATTGATTTCCCCAAACTTCCTTCCCATAATCAGTGAAATGCTCCCCAAGGACTCTGATCACATTTCAATTGTATTAAGGAAGTTAATGCTTAAAAGAGAACAGTAAAGCTCAACATAGTTAAAAATATTACTTAAGATATGTATAAAAATTTGGAAAAACTGGCTATTTTACACCCATTTGAGACTTTGACTTCAGACCTACCCTCTGGTCTCACTCTATATGGGTTCTTGTGATCCTATTTGGCTCCAAATCCCAGTTAGATTATATACATCAGCCAATTGGAAGACTTATGTGACAAACACGAGGGTAGGAGGAACTGGGAGGCATTCACCATTTTAGAGATTACTGAAACAGAGTCACATCACTTGTGATGATGCCTTATAGTATTCAAACAAGTGAACGGCCTTAGGCAATGCCAAAGGGCAGATGCTCAGTCACTACCCTAATCATTCCATACGGAATGCTCAGGGTTAGAGTCAGATATTCTGGGACTCTGTCTTGAAGGAGGGTGGATTCTTAATCTGTCACCCTCCTTCACTCTTTATTAGAGATTAGCTATGTTTCCCCTAAAATAATGTATAACTTCACTGTTACCTATGTCCAGTTAACTGCTTCGTGTTACCTTTGATCTGGGTATATCAGCCACAACCCCACCTTCTCAACCTCATAAATAAAGCATCCATATTTCCTTACCTGGTATTTTTCATATATGGATACTAGTCACTGGGGAAAAACTGGCATCTAGAACATTGGGCAGCTTCCTGAGCACTGCTTGAGGAATCATTACCAGTTTAGAAAATCAGGGCTGCAATTAGGAGCTCACTGTATAGTAACTTCCGATTTAGTTATGTGTTGGCAATCCCTTTTCTAGTCTCAACTCTTGTATGAGCCTCTTGTATTAACTCCTAGGGGATGAATGCCTAACTCTTTGAGGTGTCCTAGCTCCACACCCAATCCCACCCACACTCTAAGTGAATTATATGTGATACAGTGAATATTTTAAGCCTGATCTTCCTATACTCTCCAAATATGGTTTAAAAATTTTTCAAATAGCTATTTTTATATGAAGTTCTTTTAGCTAAATATAAAAATAATTTCATAAATATAAGTTAGATGTCAACAGCGAAGTCTAAAGAGGCTGGGGATGCTGCAAAAACTAATGATTTTTTGAGGGTACATCAAATATTAAAACACGAGATAAGCCTGAAGAGACAAATATCAGGACTTTCTCTCCTGACTCCTTTGTTTTGCTTAGAACATAGGTGGTGAAGAAAATTAAGGAAACAAGGAATTGTTGAGAGAAGAATTAAATACATTTAAATATATTTCAACTTCATTTGACATGTTTTAACATGGTGTATTACCCTAGTTGGCTTTAGGTTGCAGGAGGGTCAACTGAGGTGGCGAGAATCAGAAGAATCCCAATAGACTAGGAGCATCCAGGAAGAAGAACTACTTATTTTGCTGAGCAGTTGCCTTCAGGAAGGTGAGGGGAGGGGGTTCAACACCCTGTAAAACAGTGTATGGGGTGTAATACATGAGTAGCTCTTCTCCACCTTCTTGTTGTATGGCCACAGACTTTTGTACAGTTTTGCAATAAACACAATAGATTTCCATGCCTATTGTAACTCCAACCACCTCCTCAGCCTAAAACTAACATATTGTACAATTGTAGTTTAGACAGGGTTACTCAGGGCTGGAAAGAAATATGAAAAACACAAGGCACATAATTTGAAGAGAAACCAGAGCTCCAATTTCTAAGAGATTGTGAACAAAGGGAAACATGTTCTGCTTGGACAAATATAAAGTTCTTGCAGTTATGAATGCTGGGTAGGATATGTAGTTCTAATAACATCGGCTGAACTGCAAAGTATAGATGTTTTCATTCCATCCATCTGAGGAACCAGAACAATCAATTCATGTTATAGCATAACAAAGTGCTTGGTACTTAAATATTTGAAATGAATGAATGATTTTCAGTGAGGGAACATATCCGAATAACTCTCCCTTTCTTTCACAGAATATAAAGGTAAGAGTGATGTTAAAAATATTTAACAGTCTTTAGAGTATGAGCACTGAGACTGAAGACCTTCTTTAACAGGGATCTTTCCTGTGAACCCGCTGGTGGATCTGGAGGTTGGAGCTCTGGCTGAAGCCCTTCCCACACTTGCTGCACTCATAGGGCTTCTCTCCAGTGTGCACTCTCTGGTGGATGAGTAGTTTGGAGCTCTGGCTAAATCCCTTCCCACACTTGCCGCAGTGATAGGGCTTCTCTCCAGTGTGGACTCTGAGATGGATGCGGAGATCTGAGCTCTGGCTGAAGCCCTTCCCACACTCATAGCACTGGTAGGGCTTCTCCCCTGTGTGTATGCACCGGTGAATGTGAAGGTTTGAACTCTGACTGAAGCCCTTCCCGCACTCTCCACATTTGTAGGGCCTCTCTCCCGTGTGGACTCGCTGGTGGATGTGCAGGTTAGAGCGCTGACTGAAGCTCATACCACACTCCCCACACTCATAGGGCTTCTCACCAGTGTGTACTCGCTGGTGGATGTGCAGTTTGGAGCTCTGACTAAAGCCTTTCCCACACTTGTCACATTTATAAGGTTTCTCGCCTGTGTGCACTGCGTGATGAATGAGCAGACTTGAACTCCTTGTGAAGCCCTTCCCACACTTGTCGCATTTGTAAGGTTTCTCATCCATGTGGACTGCTTGATGGATGAGGAGACTTGAGCTCCTGGTGAAGCCCTTCCCACATTGCTCACATTTGTAGGGCTTTTCTCCTGTGTGGGCTCTCTGATGAAGTAGGAGTGCTGAGCTCTCACTGAAGTCCTCACCACACCGACTACATCTATATCGTTTCTCTGCAGTGTGGATTTTCTCACGTGGATGGCCATCTGAGCTGGTGTTCAGTATTTTCCCACAGTGATAACGGTTACAGGGTTTCTCTTCTGTATGAGCTCTCTGATGACTATGACTGGCCACCTGTGATTTCCAACCACAACTGTCTTTGTGGTTACAGTCTAGGGGATCCAAGTATTCTTTCAGCTGACCATTCTGGCAGATTGCCTCACCACTGAACAATGGCGAGACCAGTTCTGTTACATCAGACACAAATTTAATTTGAAGGTTCTCTGAACAATGGTCCCTGGGAGGACTTTTCTCCCCTATCACTTTTCTCTCAGTGCTTTCTTCAGTTACAAATAGACTTTTGCTTTCCTGAGGATCCTGGGGCTCATTCTTACAGAACATCACTGAGGAGTCCTGCATGGTCATTTGGCCTGGAACTTTCAAAGACAAATATTCTTCACTTTCTATGTTTTTGAAATTATCACTTTGAAGAGTTACCACACTGCTCTTGTTTCTGGAAATATTAGAAGATGCCGACTTTTGACATGGGGAAAGATCTAGTTCAGGGTTCCCGTACACTTCCCCTTGAAGAGTCACAATATAATCCTCTCTCCCAGTTATTGTACTGGCTATCTCTTCCAAAATTAGTCAGCAGGAAAGCTCTTCATGTAACAGATCCCTAAGTCCTTTCTCTTGAAGATTCTCCAGAGAATTTTCATTCAGGTCTCCTAGGGAACAAAGACAATTCAGTGATAAGAACAAACAAAGGGTAGATGTCAAGATTTCAGAACTCGAGTGCCTAAGGCCTGAAGAATTAGTAACTAGGGAAAAGTTCAGGCTTGTCCTTACAGAGTCACATCCTTTGGGTTAATGTCAGAAAGAGAGAAGGTTTGACTACACAAGACAGAAATCTTTTCTCTGTTTTTAAGCATAGCCAATGAAAGTATTCCTCCCCTAACCCTGCAGAAGGCTATGAATCTCACATCCTTGTCACAAATAACACTTTGTTTCACTTTACTTCATTTTATTTTATTAAATTTGCATTTAATTGGTAATCCACTTTAATAGGTGCTAGGGATACAAGGAAGAAAATAAAAATCCTTTTGCTTAACAAGCTAGAGCCTACTGGGAAGAAAGAGAAGTGTATCAACAATGATGATACCATGTAAGTGCTACAGTAGATGCATGCACAACCAGTCCCGGCAGCACACAGGAAGGGCATTTGACTCAAACCTTGGGGTCTGGGGGAAGATTTCTGGGAGAAAATGTAAGGAAAAAAAAAAAAAGTGAAATGTAGAGAGAAAATATGACATGCTCAGTTCAACTGTAAGCAGCTTTTTGTGAAGGATATAAAACAGGTACCGGTGGTAAAGAGTGTGCCCTGGAGAGGAAGCAGGAGCCAGAACAAAGGGCTTGGTGTGTACTACTAAGGATCTAGGGATAAAATGCTCAGGGATTTAAGGCTATTGAAGGATTTCAATTGAGAGTGAAATGACTGACTTCATGATTATGACCACCACCAGAAGTGAGCAAGACTTTAGGTAGAGGAACAACTGTGGTAGCAAATGAGAAGAAAAGTGATAAGGATGATGGTTATGGAGAGAATGGGAGAGACATTCTAAATCATGTGACGACTAACTAAGCTCAGAAAGGAAAGAAGGCATCAAGCATGATCCCCAAGTTCCCTGCATGAGTGACTACATATGGAGGTGCTGCATAATAAGATAGGGAATGCAAGAGGAAAAGGCTGGTGCAGGGAAGGAGGACAGATGACGAACTCAAAATCTATCTTTTTTAATTCGTGGTGCTGGTGGAACATTCTTGCACTGTTCAGTAAGCAGTGGATATATCTGGAACTCCTGAGAGAACTGTGCTAGGAATACAGATTTTAGACTTAATAGTATATATGCAGGTCAAAACAATTAGAGTGAATATGACAGTGAAATGACTAAAAAGAAATCTAGAATAGTCTTGGAAAAAAAGAAAGGTTGCTAAAAATGTTGAGGAACTCCTAGATGATAAAGAGCAGATGGATTATGACTGATGGAGAAACTAGAAAAAAATGCACACCTCAAATCATGTACAGGAGAAGACTTCTGAAAGAGTAAGAGATCTTCTCAAAAAGTCCTAGAAATTCAAATTCCAACTCAGAATCAACAATTATAAAGTAAGAGAGGTTTATCCTGGAAATCCAGGTTTATTAATTCACGTTAGGCATTTCAAATGGCTGGACTAGTTGTTGCCATTAGCAGCACCACTCTCGCAACCACCTTCTTCCCCACAAAAACTGAAATATTGGGTGGCTAACAGAAGTGGCCCCATACAAAGCCTCAAGAACAAAATAACTGATCTGCTAAAGCAAGAAAGACTCCTAATAGTATTAGTTGGGTTGAAGAGAGAAGCAGAAGTTGAGGTAATGATGAGCCTGATATAATGACAGTGTTGATTAAGGTAGAAAAAGAAGCAATTGACTCCACATGTGCCCAGGAGAAAGCCTCAAGGTAACCCCTGAAGTGGGATTTCTGACAAGATATCCCAGAGCTGGAGATCAAAGCAGGGCATGCCCCAGATAACTTACTGGCCTGAAGTGGCAACCCCAAAAAAGGGGGTCTACACCACCCACCATCTGGATTCTTATTCTATCCATCCCAAGTCCAGTCATTAGAGGCATCCCCTATAGGCAGAACACGCATGCACCAAAGAGGGTGGAGCATCAGCTGAGGATGTACACTCCAGTATTGTACTGTGAACATAGACTTTTGGGAAAAAATGAGAATAAAAAAATATAAGCAGACCAAAAAAAAAAGTAGAAAACATCAACAAAGTGGCACAAACTCAAGTGAACAGAGGAAACAGAATTTAAAAGGTACATAAGTAAAATCCCAGAGAAATCTGAGAGGATATCACATCTAGAAAAACAACACAATATAATAATAAAATATGGACAAGTTGTTATGAAAAATAATCGGAATTATTCTAAATTAACAAAGAGATTGAAAAAGATGATAATCATAATAATTAAGACCTACCGTGCCCATTTGAAGCACTCAGGCACTTGCAAAATCTTATATGAGAGGAACTATTAGGACACCCATTCTACACATGAGGAAACCAGGGTGGAAAAGGTTAAGTAACTTAGCTCATAGGTTAAACTAAAAGGTTAGGTCTTTAGTAATTTTTACTTAGTAATATTTTAATATTTATTATTAATAAATGTATAGCAAAATTTTTTAAATTACTTTTTTTCTATTATTTCTTTGATCACTTCTTTCCCTTCATTCTATCTCCACTATATTCAGAGGACTCCTGCAAGATGGGCTTTTATTTTTATCTTTCCATCTGTCTATTGTATGTGAAACCTCAGGACTTCAAGAAAAAAAAATCCCAGAAAATGCTAAAAGCATCCAGACAGAAAAACAAGGTTATGTACAAACAGAATTATAGTAACACTGAACTACTAATCAGCAGTACTGGATACCTGAAGATAATTAAGCAAATCTTCTAGTTTTGGAGGAAAAGTGATTGTGAAAGTAGTATTCTCTTCTATACCTAGCCAATCAACCATTTTGGTAGGAGGAATAAATACACACCTTTTCACACAAGAAAGGATTTAAACAATTACTGAAACAATTACTCAGAAATATACTGTAGCAAAATTTTTTTAAATTACTTTAAGAAAAAGATGATATGTGATACAAGAAACAGCAGTGAGCTGAGAAATCATTAAGACAGACAAGTAAGTCGACTCAATTGTTGATACATAAAAGAAAACAATAATAATTAACCAAATTAAACAAAACTCTATAAAATAGTATGGAATGAAAATCTCCCCAAATAAAATATATTTAAAAAAGCAAGTATTAGCTTTAGGAAAGAAAACAAAAAAAGGAACTGTAATCTATACTAGTATACTATTTGACTCTGTGGGAACAAGAATTATGAAGTCAAAGCAATGTAAGCATGAATCACTGATGTGACTCTGACATAAATTCTTGAAAGGATGGGCATGTTGGGGGAAGTAATATAAAACAGCTAAATCCTCATCTATGATATAACAAAGTCAATAGAAAATATCAAATATTGATAAATTGAAAAATAGCAATATATCATAATAAATGCAAATTAGAACCATACTGAGGTACCATTTGCCACCCGCTACACTGGCAAAAACCCAAAGCCTGAAGATCACACTGCTTGTGAAAGTAAATTGGCATCACCCCCTAAGAAGGATATTTTGACAATTACGTATCAAAATCACAAATGTATGCACTCAGCATTCCAGCTTGGGGGTTTTGTTCCTCAGATTTCCAGGCATAGCTGTGAAATGATATTTGCACGAGATTTATTCACCACAGACAGTTTGTGATAGCAAACGACTAGAACCTGGGTAGAGTGGAATTACGGACATGAAAGAAAGTTCTCACTGTGCACCTTTTTGTTTGTTTTTATTTTTGCAATATAACTTTAATAATTTTAAAACATTTAGTACATTTGGGAATCTTACTTTTCTTTGCTACTGATGCATAATTTATTTTCCACCTTTCTCCTCATTGTACATTTTTTTCAGCTTTATTTAGGTATAATTGACAAGTAACACTGTGTACCTTTTTATGCTTTTTTAAACTATGACTGAATGCATTTATTCTTTTTAAAAAAGAAAATAAGTAGCTGCATATACGTATTATTTGGAAATATGATGGCAAATACAATAAGGAACAGATGAACGGCCTGAAACTGAGTGCCTTTGAGAAGCTGCGCTGTTGGCACGAGGAGCAGCAGAGCAGGGAGACTCATTTTTGTTATAAGCCTTTTGATACAATTTGCTTTATCTAGGTGAATGTATTACTTTGTTTACAAAGTTGAAAAGTAATGACAAAAATAAAAAGGAAAAAATGATAAAAGAAAAACAGTGCAGTTTGGAGCAGTTAAATCACAAGGTGGGCCAAAATGATTAAAGGGTCAAAGGACACTAATTCACCATCCTTGCTGTATAATACTTGGGAATGGCAGCAGAAATGACATGTCTATGAAGACCAGTGAGGCAGGAATTGTATTAACGGCAAGTTTTATAAGTAGTAATGAAACTTTGTGATATTATTTAAAAAAATATTTAAAGTACTATGAAGAATGAGTATGTAATATTAGAAGAAAATGCTGACATAATGAGAAAAGAGGTCCTTATACAGGAAGTTAATACGACATAACAAAGATCCCTATGACATATTGCATAAAACAGCCAGTTGAAAAATATATACAGCATAATCTCATAAAATTTTAACACATATATCTGTAATATACACACATACGTATAGAGTGCAGAGAAAAGACAGGATATACAATTATTAGTGACTTCATTTCATATTATACTAATGTGCTCTTTGACTCTGAGATTTTTATATCTTACTTCCATAAAAAAAAAATGTTGGACAACTATGTTTAGTTTTAAATCAATTAAAAAGGAAAACCTAGAGCAGAGCTTGAAAGTAGAAGCACATATCCTATCTCATTTTTGCCCCTCTGCATAAAGCAGTCCCAGTGATACTGGGTAAATCAGATCCTACCACTCTGTTGCTCCATTGGCTTCCCACTGAACTTAGCATGAATCTACACTTTTTACCAGGGCCTCCAATGCCACGAATGAGCCAGGCCCTGCCCACCCCTTCTTCCCAGGTGCTCCCTGTCTTCTAGCCACACTCCTCCTTCCAGGTCTTTGGGTCTTCCCTTACACTATTCTCTCTGCCTGGAGTCCTCCCCCAACCAGTCACCTCTTTAATGCCTACTAATCCTTTATATCTCAGTTTGAAAGTCGCTTCAGAGGCCTTCCCTGAAACTCTCAACAACACATACATCACCCTTGTCCCCTCCCATGCCTTCATTCTCTCAGAGCACACTGTTCTATCCTTCATAGGACTTAGCAATTTATAGTAATATATCGTGTTTACTTAATGTCTCTTTCACAAGACTGTAAGAAATATTTCTTCTCTGTTAAAACTCCAAAGCAGTCAATTTTTTTCCCGTTTTTTTTTTTTATTGTGAAATTTTTGTTGTACATTATTGTTTATCAGTCACCATATAAGTGCATCCCTCCACCCCTTGTGCCCACCCCCCACTCCCTTAGCCCCTGGTAACAAAGCAATTTTTTTTGTGTGTGTGTGAGGAGATCAGCCGTGTGCTAACATCTGCCAATCCTCCTCTTTTTTTGCTGAGGAAGACTGGCCCTGGGCTAACATCCGTGCCCATCTTCCTCCACTTTATATGGGACGC